TTATATTTCCCCTTTTGTCAACTATAGTAAAGATCTTTCCTCAGCATTGCTACACATCAGTGTTTGCAGCTATCTGCTTTGCTCCTCTGCCAGGATTTTATTACTCAGCAGCAGGAACGGCAGACCCAGACAAGAACCTGCATCTCTGCCACTCCAGTGTACAATCTGACACATTGCACCATTGGTGCAACGAGGGAGCACAGCATTGTGGTCTTATCAGGCAGCTGAGGCACAGATACACATGGATGAAAAGCAGGGTAGTTAGGGACAGCAGTATCTTAAATCATGCCAGTACACTTCAGTGAAAAATATCTGTTAAATAACTAAATTGATCATCTGCTATCCATATGCATTCATATTTACTCAAAGTAAATAGGGTACACAAAATTGTAATTCAAACATTACATCAGAAAGTCCTTAACTTATCCACCTTCCTAAATTACTTTTATGAAAGCATTTGTTAGGGTTCTTTTTTACATTACAAACATTATTTTTTCAGTTTTCATTAACGAAAGCTAGTTGCATATGCTGTCATGCTGATTGTACACCATTCTTTTTTTCATTAGGTTACTTTTACACAACTAGCTAAAGAAATACTAAGGAAGACTAAAAATGGGTTTCTCAGTCTTCAACTGGGCACTTATATTTCTCTCTGCGAAGCAGAAAGCATACATCAGTAAACAATCTTCTATTATGGCAATAATGAATGACATAAAAGACAGTCTAAAATGAAGCCAAACTATAATAATAATACAAGAACATACCAGCTCCAGGGGTTATACAGAAATCCAGATAATTTGGAGCAGGGAACCTGTGTTTCCACAGGAGGTATACAAAAAGTTGTGGTGGAGAGAAAGAAGCCACTTCATTTGTGGGACATCAATAGCAGCTGGTTTGCTCTTGGGCTCAGTCACTGCTGTAAGTCTCCTTTCCACCTACACAAGAAAGAAGATTAAGAAAGACACTGGCCCGCATTCTGGCGAGGAGAGGCTACTTGTTTCAGGAACCACCCCTTGGTAAGATCTCTTGTTTTCCCTTGCCCCACCTCCCTGTACTTCAAAGTTTTAAGCCTTTAGAAATCTGAGTTCTGAAGAAACTGGTTTTTTCTCCTTTATTTTATTTTTAGTAGGTAATGAACTAACCTGAGAACAGAACCTTTATTAGCAAACTGAAGATCAGGGGTTTTTACTGAAGGTATAAGACACCATGGGATTTTTTGGTGTTTGTGCAGACTGAAGGCATTGCTTTAGTGTTGCTTTGGTTTCTTACTTCCCAACCTATTTTAATTGGCAATAAGTTAATGTTCCATAAATCTTTCTAGCCCATAGTGGTAACTGCTAAATGGTATCACTGTCAAGATTTTCCATTTTATGTTCTTCCTTCATCCTGTTGAGGAGGAGGAGGGAGAGAGTAGCCAAGTGGGCATCTGGCAGCCAAGCAAGGTCAACCCATCAGAGAATGCAAGATTAAAACACAGCCTTCAGGAAAAGGAGTCCCCTGCCCCCCTTGTGTGCATTGTCTCTTCCTCCTGTTTAGTGTAACAATAAGATTGTCACTACCTGCCCTGAAAATCATCACCACCACTGCTATGTTATTTGCCAGCAGTGACCAGAATCCAACATTCAGACTCCTTCTTATGTCTCTGATTATCTTAGGAATTAGCTAATCAAGGTCATTCCTTGTTTTCAGCCTCTATAGCTTCTCCTGTTTGACCTCAGTTTGTGCTGAAATAATTACAGAACTCTTTAATTCCTGGGCACAGCCTAGTAATTCAGCTGATTTAGATTTGTGCATAATTTATTAGTCACACAGAAAGAAAGGTGGAGCTAATTACTTCATTGAGTTTTCCCTGCAGATGGAATAACCTGTCTTCCTTTATTGTCTCCATGAAAATACTATTCTTGGGCTATATCTATTATAATTAGGTGTCATTATAAGTCATTGATGGGTTTCTGTAGGATTTGTGGAATGAGTAATTTTACAGGCAGAGAAACCAAAGACCAGGACACAAATCAGGAGGTTCAGATTCTAGCTCCATTTCAGCTATCCCTTTCATCAAATGATTATTGCTGCACTTTGTGATGAAATACCTTATTTCTTCAGGACTTCTGTGTTTAGTTTTGGGGTTTCTCTGGTTTAACTCTTAATTCTTCAGAGTTAAATTGATTTTTTTTTAGGTTTGTCAGAGTTTTATAAAGTTCCTGATTTTTTTTTCATAAAATTTAATTTATATATATGTAAATGAAAAAAAAATCTTTTACTTTTCAAACTCATATGCTTACCCATCATCCCCTTCATCTTTACTGTATATTTTTTTAAATTGGTAGAGAAATGAGCCAGCACACAGAGAAGTCAGTACTTCTGATAAATTCAGTGAAGTTTGGTAGAAGTCCTAAAGGCTCACACTTTTCCAGACAGAGCTAATATTCTGTCTGGAACAGCTCCCAAAACAGGCATGTTTTAACAAGTACATTTATGATTAAGCTGAATTGTGAAATCAGAAGTACGTAGAACTGGAAGGCTCCTGACAGGGTTTCAACTTTATTCAGAAAGGGAAACAAACACAGGTGCAAAATCCTCCCAGAATTTCCTGAGGCCCAGTCCTATTTACAAAGAAGGAAGCCAGCCCTGCTGAACAGTGATCAGCTGTCCTTGTCTCCAGCCACAGGAGGGTGATGGGCAGCTGCAGGGCTTGCAGAGGGCATGGCACTCCAGCAGCCTGCATGGTCCTCTGAGGGGGGTTCTGGATGTCTGTCCAGGTGTTGCCAGCAGGGATGGCCCCTGTGAGAAGAGACCTGAGCAGCAGGGCGGGCATTTGCCAGCCAGGCAAGGTGAGCCCATTCCATGTGGGCAGAGAGCAGCTCCTTTCCAGACAGGCCACTGTCCCCAGAGCCCAGTGCAGCTGGCCCACAGGACAGCTAGAGCTGTAGATAGTTCCTTTCTTTTCCTGATGTGTTTTCCAGCACAGACATGACAAGGATAAGCCTGTGGGTGGTTTCATCTTTCCATGACAAAGACATCCCAAGTGGCTGTACAAACAGACTATATGCCCCCCAGGCCCTACTTGCCAAAGCATGGTATCCTTGCTGTGAGAGAAGGTAGGAAGAAAAAGCTTTTCTCCATTAAAAATGCCTTCACCTTCACCTTGGAATGTGTAATACCAAACACATCAAACAGCTCTTCTGAAAAAGACTTATCTTTTCCTCATGATACAGTCAATACAAGACTGCTTCCTTGCCCTCTTCTCCAGAGTCCATCCTAGGCAAGCAAGAGAGGATGTAAGCATTCCCATGCCATACTATAATCAAGACACTGAGCTGTGTGAGAGCCCAGAGGCTTCAGAGCAGGCTGGACAAATTTATGGGCTGCAGCTATACCCAGAGCTATTAAATACAAAGGCAACACTTCTGGTTGTGGAAGGGCTGAGCTAAATGGTGGAGAATGGAGAACATCTGCAGGGAGCACTAAGAGATGCTCTCCATACTCATACCACTGCTGGGGATAGAATCCTAAGCTAGGTGGCCTGGTAAAGCTCTCCTTCAGCTCTTGTTATTGCCACTGTTCAACAAAATCTTTTCCAAATTTCACTGAAGCTAGATAAAAGTCCTAAGAAAGCAGTTTTCAAGTCCTTTGCATAGCCTTTCCCTCTTCTAGCAATAGTTATGTGACTATTATGTCAATTTTCTGTCATCACAGTCATACTTATCAAGCTTGCTTCAAAGGGAGAATTAATAGAACAAGTCCAGTTGTCTCCTGGCAACTAATTTGTGCAAAGGAAATATGCCTTTCTAACACAGAGGTTCTGTGTAGATCAAATACATTTTTTGAAGTTCTGAAAAGCATTTGGGAAAAATATTACAGCACAGGAGACACCTCTGCTAGTTGTATGACACTTTCCTTTTGTTTTACAGGTCAGGACTGAATTATTCAGAAAGAATAGCTTCAGAAAACATTTTATCTACATTTTGGACTGCATAATAAAAGTGTGACACCCAGAAAACATGGATAGAAACTACTGTCTGTCTAGTTAAATAGTTGGTTCTAACTGTCTTTCCTCTGTATCATTGTACTATGACATGGATCAAGATCAGAAAAGTTAGAATTTTTCTCATTTCACAATAGTAATTTTGTCAAAATTATATTTTTGAGGGTTTTAACTACTAATTGAACATGCACAGTCATAAAAACATTCCAGAGGAAAAAATAGAAGTCTCATTTTTACTATTTTTTACAATTTTACCATTGCTCTTTTACTATTTCCTAGTTCCACATAAAATTCAGTAACTTTTTCCATAATCAGATCACCCAATTGAAAGATGTAGTGTTTGTATTAATTGCAGAAAAATGAAGAACACTGTGAATGTTTTCAGGCTTCTAGAAGCACTGAAATGACCATAAAATGCTCAGACTCAAACAGTACATTGACACAGTGCTTCTAATGATTTTATATAATATTATTTTTCCTTTGTTTTTACTGTGAGCTTCATAACTTTTCCAAAGATGCCTGGAAAATGAAGGAGGCTAAGAAAACTACCTTACCTCTGTGAAGATGCTGTCTGAACCAGCACATAGAATCACAATAGGTTCTATACTTGAAAATTTGCATTCATTGCCATGACACCAAATCTAATTTTGTGATCAGTTTGGATAAGGACCTCTCTGCCACTGACTGACCTCCCACCAGCTGTCCACTGCTAAAGCAAACACAAGTCAGTGTTACTCAACATAATTATCAAAAGTGTAAGATAACAGTAGATGGAAGCTAAACAATCTACCCACTCTCCTTTGTGATATCACATCTGAACAAAGTGATATATTTTGAAAAGACTCCTCAGGACCATTTATTTATTGACTTATACTTTATTAGTCCTGTACATTTCTGGATGTTTTACTCAAGAGAAAAAAATTTCAAAACACAGTTAAAATTTCTTAAGAAGTAACATCATCATGATGCTAAAGAGCCTTTAGAGAGACCAGTATTTTTACTGTATAATTTCTCATAAAACATTTTGTCCTTCCCCATTATCTGTGTTTTTGGTATGTTTTCTTTGCCAACAGAAGTTAATCTGAAGGAAGTTTTTAATGGTCTAATAGCCAGAGAGAGTAATCTACAGTCTCACTTCAGAACCTTAACACAAAAAGCTGTTAACAAATGATCATAATAACAGATACAATTATTGTCATTGCTAAGCACAAGGAGCATTTTTATATGTAGTTTCATTATCTGGTTTTCCTATGATATCTTTTTAAGTTAAACATATTTTGAAGTAAAAAGGTTATAAAAATCATAAAGGCCAGGGTAGGAAAAGCCACAGTGGCATTAAGTCAATCCATGGCTATTCTGTCTGAGGAACTGACAGAGCTGGACCTTTGGGATCATCAAATCTGTTGTTTGTCGTGAGCTGCATGATCATATGGATGCCATAGGTCAGGATCCACAGTAAAATTATAGATGTCACCAAGCCCATCCAAATTCCAGGAGTGAAGAAACCTGTACAGTCACTTGCATAGGAAAACTGGTTGTTTATAATGTTGAAGCCTTGAATCTGAAAATGAGAAAAGGCAGATAGAAGAGTGCAATTAAGCATAGTCCTTACTTTCAGGAAATATTTGGTAATTACAAAACCCCACAGCTTTTAACTATCAATCATACCCTCTGCCCATTAATAAAAAAGTGAGAACAAAATTTTCTGCAAAACAATTTTCTAGATCTCCTTTTCACCCAGGAAACTAAAGATGTAGAATCCATTTCTTTGGTAAGCAGTAGGTTCCCCACGTCAGAAATTTGTATTACTTATAGAAGTAAAGTCCCAGAGGGGACGTGTGGTCAGTTTTCTGCATTCTCTGTATTCTGAACAGTATTCTGTATTCACATAATCAGTATTGTCAGTATTCACTGATCATCAGCTCTATGACCACTTCAGAACCAGGAAACTCAAAGCACTCAAAGGCATGAGAGTTAGGGCTCCTCAGATCATGAGATCTGTTGAAATAGTCTGACAGTTTTAGCTAAGATTTCCTTGACAGAGGAGATGGACAAAATTCCTAGAACCTACTTTAAAACACATCTAATAAAGATGACCTTTTTTGGCTGAGAGTTAGTGAGAGTTCAGGGAGAAAAATGTTGCAAAATCTTTCTTCCTCCCTCCTTGTAATTCAAAGACTCAAAACAGAAGGAAAGGCTTGCTTTACTGAGGTATGGGATATATGGCGTCTATTAACTTATAAAACCTATATAAACTTTTCCAGCAGTTAAAAAAGTTTGTAATATCTCTGATTTGACTGAATTCCCATTGTCTACCACTGACTTTCCTCTGACCATATTATTTTCCTCAAAAAAATCAACCAATTTGGAGATACGGTCTCTGTCTAGATCCCAATTGTACAAAAATACCAACAAACTGAATGCCTTTGAGTCCAATGACTTCCTAGAAATTTTGTTCAAACCAACCAAAGGATTAGAAAACTATGAAGAAAGGGAAGACAATCCCCCCTCTACAAACATGCATATAATGACAAAGGCACTGATTCCTTTAGAAGGAAGGGAAAAAACTGATGGAAGAAGGGGAATGAAAGAATTAATCTGATTCATTTTGATTCATTCTTAAATAATTTTATAAAGAAAAATTAAGAATAGGATTCTTATACATTTACAGAATCTATGAAATGGGTGTGTAAGGAAAGCACCAAATATCAAACAGGCTCCCACTGGTAAAGAAATGACATGTTAAAAATTCCTGTTTTCCATAAAATATTATCAAATAATTTTTTAAATGGATTATTTTATTTAAATCACTTCTCTCACCCAGAAATAAGCACGAAAGCAGAAGATCATGGATTTCTACTTTTATGTGTTCCCACACCATGATTATTCTATGATTTACAATAAAATAAATGGAAAGCTTGAGTTTATGTGTGGTAATAAAAGAGTTTGTACTTCCTAGGAAAGGTGTTGGTACAAACCAAGCAAAACTACCAGGCAACAAACACACCAGTAAACACTCTGGGTTTGTGTTCAGGCATGGCTCAGGTCCCTAATGTTCATGTAATATGTGTGTACCTTCCAGAATGGTGATTAATTAAACTGTGAGGAACTAAAGGCTCTTTAGATAATGTGGAGGTGAAGACAATTTTAGCAATTCAACCTTTCAGAAGAATCTTTCCAAGCCAAATCATGGTAGCTAACTCACAAAGACTGTCTGCTTTCACCAAAGGTACTGAGACTTCTGATTAAAGCAGGATTAGTGAACACAAGCTGCAGGGCTGGACAACTATTTGCACAGCTTTAGAGAATACATGACTGCAAAAGCCTTTGCTTGTTAAGCCACTGCTTTGACCACAAGTGAGAATGTGAATAGGAGTTGTGAAATGTAGCCTGAAAGAATTATTGACAATAAAAATGGACAGAAAGTGATGATTCATGTCATTTGTGTTCAAAAAAATGGATTGAAATTCTGGAAAACAATACACATTTCCTACCACATTTACAAGGGCTCTCTGAAGTACTTAACAGGTATATTCAGTTTAGAGGGGCTTTGCCACTCCTGATTTAGAGCCAGAAATATTGAAATTTATTATTTCAATTCTAGTGGTCTTATATATCTTTAAAACAGCATTATGCTTATTGAACCATCTAGGTGAAAGATTAAATTGAACATTCCTAAAACGCTATGTCTACTTTTAGGGGGGGAGATAGAGAATATGCTGGGTTATTTTATTGTTTTTCTGAAGCTTTATCATTTCTGTGGGGGTGTTAGACATCAGGCAAAAAATGAGAATCTCAGCAGCATATATAGAAAAGTTAAAAATACTTACATGTAGTTTTCTAATATTTATGAATGCAGAAGTCTTTTGTATATAGGCCTTTGTCCAGTGGAAGTTTTGATTTTGGTGTTTAGACCAGTCATTTGTCTTGATTATACAAGCCTGTATTTACTGTTAATTTTTAAATATTTTTGAATGTAGATTTCTAATGATATGGCCTATGACAAAAACTTCAAGTAAAATATGCTGGGTTTATGGCTCTTAAGTGCAGACCAAACTTCTAATTTTTGAACTTTGAGATGTTTTACCTACAAAGAATCAAAATATTCTTGACTTTGAAGTTTTTGGCAGTTTTTCATGGGTTTCAAAGTACTTCTGAACCCCACATACTAAGAAAAAGCAGTGTTTTTGCTGGCAGCCTCCTCTTTACCTTCACTGACAAACATGAGATGCTCAAAAGCACAAAAGATATCATGGTAGAAGAGCCATTCCTGTAGCAGCAATAATGAACCAAACCCCCACCAAACCCAGAGCAATTTAGGTGCTCTGCAGAGGTCTGGTGACACCCTGGGCTGTCACCGTGCCTAGGCAGCATCCCACAGAGCTTCTTTTACATGGTAGTGAGTGAGGCAGCTCCAGAAATGAAGTTAAAGGCTACACCCGTTCAACCTTGCCCAGGAACAAGCAGTGCAAGGCTTCCCTGTGCAGCTGACATTGTCCCCCTAGTGCTGTGATTCAACTTCCAGGACCCAGCATTGCAAAGTGCAGTTGTGCCAGTTTGATTGGCACTGGATCCTGGTTTCTAACTCATTGCGTAACTTTGACGTGAAAATCATGTTTCTCAGTTTCAGGAACAAGATTTTGTGCTGGCTGCAACTACTGAGCACATCCCACATGCTTTCTTCACCATGCAATAGAGTTTGGGGGTTTCTAAACCTTATGCAATAAGACTGATACAGAGATCGCCTTTCAGTATGTATCAGTGGAAGATACCTGGAAAAGTATGATCTAGGTCAGATAGAACCTGGAAATGAGCCCAGAATGGTCACCTTCTGTTTCCTCACACCACAGAAGAATACCAGACTGGGAAATTTTGGGTTGTGTTCTATGTTTAGGGTTTGATCAGAGAAAAAGCTCTTTTCCAAGAGGAACTGGAGTTTCTGTTGTCTGAACAGTGGAAGCAGCTGCGGTTCCCAATCAGTAAGGAAGGTGGGAAACCACCACTTCTACTCTTGGTTAAGACCACAATGAAAGGATGCCTGCTAAGGTTGGAGCAAGGCCTATTTAAGCTTTAAGAAGGCAGCAATATCAGTGCATATAGAAACTGACAGGAAAGATAGGTGGTAAGTATATACTTCGTAATTTCATAGGTCATGTCCTTTCATATCTCTGTGATGTGAAAGCCTAACTCCAAAGAGTTTACTAGGCAAAGTACAGTTGCATGAACTATGGTGTTTACAGACCTTTACAAAAAAATAACATCATAAAGAGCCTTCACAACATTGGTATGTATTACAACATTGTTTCTCAAAAAATGGTGAGACATGATACTGGAATTTGTGGAAAATAAATCTAAGCACCAATGCTCTCTCTGTGAGATTTCCATTGCTTAAGCAGAAGTGTCAAGTCTGGAGTCAGATTATTGAGATTTGATTTGTTATCAAAATTATAAATACAATTATATCAGCATTTTTATCCAGTTATTGTGGGGTTAGTTCATGTTTGACAAATGGAGTACAGTTTGGAATTATTCCTATTATTTTAATGATCTCTTCCATCAAAGACATCCCTCAGTGAAATATTGTTTTAAAATATAAATGTTGTTATGCTTCTCTTAAGTCAACAGCAAAGCTCAAAGTAGTAAAAGTGAAATCATCTATACCTCACAGATGTAGTATTAACTACTACTAAATAAGCAGAAAAGCTATGTGTCATTCAAAAAAAGCCATCTGCTTTCCTTCTGGGTCATGCAGGAACTAGTACCACTCCAGATTGAAGTCCATGGCAAACCTCCCTTTAAATCTACTTGCACTGGGCTTTGTTTCTCTCTGCAGGAGTACAGACAGTCCATGTCTCCAAAAACAGCAGCCACACTAAGCTGTACTTTCCTAGGTAAACAAAGCACCAAGAAATCAAACAAAAACAAAGTAAGCAGCATAAAGCCACCCACCTAAGAGGCCTCTGTTTCCAAGAGCAGCCCAATTCATTAAACAGGCATGAGGACTTAGCCATTCTTTGCCTGATTAGACGCATTTGGTTTAATTGGGTTTTCTTTATGTGGACAACTTCATAGTTTTGTTTTTCAAAGCTGTGCTTTCATGTTTTCCTTGTTCAGCAACTGGCGTCTTGTTTACCCCCCTACTGAATAGCTCACCTAGGGGAACAGCTTTTCTTTTATGTTTTCCCTCTGGCTGGAATGAAAGTAAGGGCATTATGAATGTGTGTCATTCACCACCTACAATAGCAAGTAATAGTACTTGGAGTTATCTCTGAAATGGCAAAGCATACTCACTTGCAAATTGGAAAGGAAAACATCCCAATTTTTTGCCTCACTGTTGAGTGGATCTCTAACCAGCCTTGCAGGATAGAGATTGCTTGTTCCCACCATCTGACAATGAAATGAATACTCTGCAGGGGTAGAGAGGCCAGAAACAATAAATTTAGCTAACTTGTCTCCATCTTGTACAATCTCAACTGAATCTAAAGTGGACCATCTTCTAGCCGAGACTTCATAGAACTTGTTGGTCATTAAAAACCTAGGAATACAACAGAGGACAAAAAGAAAAAGTCAACAGGTTAGAAGGAAAATATTAATACATATTTGATAAAGTAACAGATAAAGGCTCACTATTGCTGGCTGCAAACATCACAGATGATGATGACATGGGCTCCCATGTCATTAAGATTGTTTCAAGTGAAGAAGTTCTGTGAATGTGTTTATTCCTTACACTTTCACCTCACAAGCACAGCTTTCTATAACTGTGGCAGGCAAGAAGCAAATGCAGTTTCATTCTTCAAGGGCCTCTGCCAGTGCTGTGTTTCATCAGTTACCAACAGTTTATAATAAATGGAGGCGAAGCTGAGAAAGTGTCAGTAAGATTGCAGTGGCTCTGAATAAACATTTTATGGGATTTTTTGAAAATTGTTTTTCTGATAGCTACAGGCATGACAGCCATTCTAATTTATCATTGCAATTCTTTCTTGGCTCAAATGCCTAAATGGCCATTTCCTTCCCAAATGTCTGAATTTGGTGTAGAAGACAGAGCTTTCTCCCACTGGTGCGTCAGGAAGGATTGTCAGATCTAGTTTCACAATTTGAAGTAGGCTAGGCACAAAAAACTATTTTATAATTTTGAAAGCATCTGTGTATGTGTAGTATTGCAGCAGTTTATAATCATGGAATTTATGTTACTACCAATGCAGTCTGAACAGCTCCCAGCAGACATAAATGAGAACATCCAGAAGTACATTCTGATCCTTTACAGATCAGGACTATGCGCTACTCTTTACCAGATTTTAGAAGCTACTTTTAGGCATTCAAGCTATTTCATAAGGAAATTATAAGCCTTTACCATTACTGTACATTGTTTGATAATTTAACCCTACTTGGTCTATGCATGTGTATTTCTACATAGTTTGCTGATGATTTCTTTTGATTATTGGTAACCACAAATGATTTAGAAGAGAAATCTATTTATCAATAAATAAGACTTGCTACAAAATGAAACATGTTTATCCACAATGAGTGACACTGTATTTTCACTTTAAAATTTGAAATAATAACTTAGATGCAATTATGATTGGTTTGAAAAAAAAGAATAATCACTTTAAAAGAGGCACAACATAAACTATTTTATGTTCTGTACGGTATATATATATAGAGAAAATATTCTCTCTGTAGAGTATTGCTTGTTTGTACAAATTAGTTACTTTCAATACTGTCATCCACACAGCATAAAATCTAACCAAAAATGATGCTTTTAAAAAATATTTATTAATAATCAGTGGCTTTTGATTCAGGTAAGTTCAGAAAGCATCAGTGCAAGCATCAGTGAAAAAGAAAAAAAAAAGGAATCCTATATAGTCCACATTTATAGATATATATAGAAAATGTTCTATTCTTATGCAGTTACAAAATTAAATTATTGCTAGAAGAAAGGAATCTTTTCCTGACGTACAGTACAATCTGAACAGAATTGCCCCAGTAGCAATGCTATAGGCACTATACTAGCACTAAACTGTGTTTATAACTTGCTGAAAGCCAGTTATAAACACAGAGAAGATTACTTAAATGTTTATGACAACCACAGAGGCTGGGTGTGGTCTGTACTTTTGCTGATAAGATGAGAAAAGTGGTAAAGAAGGAAATTCCCTTTAAGCTGACCTTAAGAATGAAAAGTTTTATACGGCCATGCATGTGAGTATAGTCTAAAATGACTTTGAAGGGAATGCTGTCTCTTCATATTACACCAAAGACGAAAATGTTACTTGTGTTACTTGCAGACTTATGAGAATTAACATTCTAATTGGTTAACTAGTTGATCACAGTTAACTTAGTAATGAAGGCTGTTATCCTTAGCATTTTTCCAAACTAACAGTGAATAACCTCCAACAATCACACACTTAACTGATAATGGATGTGAATAGAGTTCATTAAACTACAAGAAAAAAAGGCATTCAAAAAACAAAAATCTATAGAATTACTTAATTTAGTTTAACATTTTCTCAAATGAGTAGATAGCAAATACAGCACATTATAGCAAATTAATCATACAGAGCAGAGAGAGAACAAAGGTTTTATCTGCAGAACTGAAAGTACCTTGACTTCTTAAGGAAATGTTACATTCATGTTAAACATTAGAGACAATTATGTACATTAGAGACATTATGTACTTTATGTATGATGGCACAAAAAATTCCTGGTCATGGGCCAGGCTCCCTTTGTGCCAGAGAACTATATGAACTCTGAATGCCACCACCACTGATCGTGTCTCCTGTGGCTAATCATTACAAGCAGAGGTATTTCTGAAGCGGGAGGTAGCTAGAATTACTGTTTCAAATATTCAAAGAGAAATACAACTGTTAAGCAGAAGACTAAAACATGTTTTTTGGGTAGGCTCTATTCTGTTCTATACATGGAGCAACAAGAGCAGTCAAGTATGTATCAATGTAAGTTTGGAATACTAATGTTGTGCACTCCCATTCACTTTGACACTTTTCCCCAGAGAAAATGACAGACAAGTGCTTGAACAGTTGGATCAGTTCATGAGAGAACTGAGATCTTGCTTCTTCCAGCCAAGGACTACTGCCCACTGCTCCCACCCCTGCTGCAGCAGCAGCTTGCTCTCCTCACACAATCACAGCAACACTCTGCAGGCACTCCCTTCCAGCTCATCTCCAGTGCAAGTGCAGGAGGATGAGTGAGACTGTGGCTCTAGAGAGAGCGAGGGAGGTGCCAGCTGTGAGTGTGTGCACAGGATGAAGCAGCAGTGCAGCTGTCAGTGCAGGTGGGATGTGACCAGCTGCTCTGCTGTGGGCACTGGTGCTGATAAGGGGGGCAGCCTCTGGATCCTGCTCATGCTGCTGAAGTTAGAACCAACTTTGTTGAAGAATAAACTGAGCTACTTGAACATGGACCTCTCTGGAGTCACTTTCAAGAAATGCTATCCTACACTTAGTAAAAGGCCTTTACAGAGGCAAAAAGTGCAGTCATGGCTCTCAGCTCTGTTCCTTCCACCTCTCTGCCTGGCTTGTATCCTGTTTGTTAAAGCAGACCATGATCTTAGCAAGGTGTAATCTTGAAAAAGAAATCAAATAAAAATGAACCAGAGGGGAAAACAGAGGTTGCAACATATCTCCATGAATTTTAGAAGCTCTGACAAGAGACATGCTGAGATACACAAGGTGAATAAAGTGTTAGCAAATCATGAAAAAAGTCAATGGCTTGTTCTGATTCTGTTCCATGAATCTCATTATTTGCATTATATAGCATGCACTGCTATATTATGGTAGCTAACAGAGGCCTAAAATGACAGCATTCTCCCATCAAGTGACAATCCAACAGGAAACTAAAAATTATCAAGTGAGTCATTAGAACTATTGCTAATTTATAAAGGCTCTGAGGTGTTCTGGGTTGATACCAGCCAGCAGGCAAGCGCACATTCAGCTCTTTGCTCACTCCCCATGTTCAATAGGACAGGAGGGATAATAGAAAGAGCAAAAATGAGGAAACTTGTGGGTCAAGATGAAGACAGCTTAAAAAGTTAAGGGGAGAGGGGAAAAAAGCAGTACAGAGATAGTCAGTCTCTATCTCCCACATAGAGGCCAAGGCATAGAGAAGGTCCAAGAAATGGTTACCCTGGAAGCTACTCCCTAATTCTTCCTCTATTCCATTTTATATTTCTAAGCACCTGTGTCATAAATAAAAATTGATCAATTTAGACATATTTGTGTTTATTTGCCCTGAAGGTCTATTAAAAACCTGGATCACACATAGCCCAATGGAATAAATCAAATTCTCCTGCAAAACACAGCCAGCCTGTGCTTATTTACTTGGCATGAAAACATCCAGGACCTTACCTGAGCTCTCTTTTCAAGTCCTCACCTATTGTAGAGCCTGAGTTTCTTATTCCAGCTTCAAGGGCTGTTTATGCATTTTGGTATTTAGCTGTAATGTGTTCAAGCAGAGGCACAGGTCAAGAAAGACTTTGTGAATATTTCTGCCTCTACTGTAACAGGCTCAAAAGATATAATTTTTTTTTCCTGAAAAAGAAAGAAAATATGAACCATTCACCTTTTGTACTGGCATTTTCGTTTAAATTACAGTTTGTCTGCAGAGTTGCTTCAAATTTCTTCTCTCCTGATGCAACTCAGATTCATGACTGCATTAAATTTTTCATCCAATAATTAATTAAAATGAAAAGTTTTTAACAAAAGATTACTAAACATAATTCTAAATAATCTTCACTAAATCCATGTCTGCACTAACATCACATTTGATCTTCTGCCAGCTGCAGAAAACAAAATCTAAGATAAACTGCCAAAGGATTTTGTTTCTATAGTACTGTCTCAAGGTTTGAAATTTGCCATTGTACAGTTAAGTGAAGCCTGTTGATTACTAAAGGAAACAACACCTTTAAGATCTAGCTGTGAACGAGTTTTGAAGCACAGTGTCATGCTCCATAGGATGCTTTGTGATTTGTACTATTTTCTGGAACTGTAATTTTACTAGAAAAGATGATATGCTGAGGATAGCCATATTCAGGACAAATGTAGGAAACAGCCACACTCATTCACACAGAAGGAGATTACAGCAGACCAGCTAAGACTTGTGCTAGGATGTGCAAAGATGAAAAATGAGAATCAGAGCAGTGTTTTGGAGGGCCTGTCTCTATCAGAGTGGGAGAGGAGCTCTGAAGAGCAGACAGAAGAGCATCAGGGCAGCACCAGAGAAAATGATATTCTGGGACTTGTAGTGAAAGGAAAAACACAGCTTGGGTAGTCTTGGTTTGAGATCAGTACCTTTTAAATGGGATCCAAGGAAAGTATTTTTTTAATTCCCCATGGTGTTTAGGGAAATACATGTCTCTTTGATAATTTACATGACAGACCAAGGCATGCATGACACCATCACCAAGGACAAGCCCCAGGGATCCTATACACAGCTAATTTCAATACGCAAAAAAGTAAAAATACTGTACTAACAGCAACCTTATCTGTACAGTATGTTCTCTTACAAAGCTCTAGCTGGTTGAGGGAGAAGGGAGATACATGTCTGGTCTTTTGCCACCTGCCATGATCTCTAATACTGAATACAAGGGTCTCTACGCACTCTGAATACCACTCCGAACACATCACTGACTCTCCTCAGGACAAGTTCCTTTGGGATCCTTTTACCTTAACACAGAATGTCTCTCTTGCCATGGTAGGAGAAATTTGGTCTTGTCACCATCCGTGGAGTAAAGACTTTAAAACTTTTTGCACCTCTCATTAACCACAAGCTAGCACTAACAGAGTGCACTGGCAACCCACATTAGGACTCAATACAGCCCTGGCCACGCAGGTAGACTTCAACCCCTCAAAGTTTTTACAAATCACAGTTAGATTTACCTGAGAGGACTGTGGAATAATCCTATTAGTAAAACAGGAAGCTGCATATACCAGTGCCTTATAGTATGGATGTTTGCCTACAATATTGTTTTATTTTTTCAGGACTTTACCTGAGAATAATAATATATTTCCTGTATAAAGACTGTACTGTTGTTTTCCTGCATCATGGCTCCTCAGAAGAAAAAGAAAATAATAAATTAAAAAATATTTTCATTTAACTTCTCCCCTTTTTTTTGTTCCTAGTTCATTAACAGGCATTGTGAACCACAAAAGATCTATTTAAAAGAAATCCTAAGTTACCTTATCTCTAGGCTGCTGATTCCATTCACTGGTCTTGTGTATTTTAATGACAGTCTAAGAATAAGAAACAGATTTTTAGTGTTAGAGTAGTCAGCTTTAATTAGATCATTGTGACATTTCAATTTGAAGGATATATTGTAAATCAGTAGGCAATTACAAAAGTCATATAGCAAAGGTTCAGTACATAGAAAAACATGACTAAATATTTCTAGGGTTTTATTTACCCAAGAGCAGGTGCTTCAAAGTAAAGGAAAACAGAGATCTTGTTTCATTAATGTACTTGTAGCTGAGTTACTACCTCGTAACTGGCAGTACTCCCCTTTGAGGGAATGAAATTATAGTCTCATTAATGCCAGTGGAGATTTTTGTGATTGTGAGATCAGACACAGGGAAACCTGTTTGGGCCAAATACAAACAAACAAGGAAGTGGGGAACATAAGAAGAAAAAACTTGTGAAAATAACTGGCCTCATCTGAACAGTTTTTGTGGTCTTGATTTAACTTCTTTGTTCTAAAAATACTTTTTTTTTTAAGATTTGGATGCTTTAGAAGAAAACAATTAAAATAGCACTGATTTGACATAATATTTCTGAAATTTTTCTGAATTACATGTATTATGATATGAAATTTCTTATGCTACTCACGTTGTGTTGCTGTCTGTGCACTCAGAGGCAGAAATATCCACATTCTGTGCTAAAAATGTTGCATTTGTCAAATCTATTAAAACTGAATTGTTGGCTTTGAGGCTGAAATTACTAGCATAAAAAAGGATGCATGTATCATTTCCAATGGTTACATTCAGAGGAGGATATGATGAACTTTCTTCTTCCTCTGTAGCCATTAATTGTCGTCTTAATTCTGCCACCACTTCAGTTCTTCTAGAAATCTGGAATAACAACACATTAACAATTCATCCATTTGTAAGAGTCATTTCAGCTGAAAACAGACTTCACCATTCTGTACCATGAGCACCTGTTCTCCTTAAATCCTCCATCAACCTCAATAGTTGTTACTGTCTGTCTATTTAACTGCTGGTGTGGAGGCTAATGAGGCTCCCAAGGTCCACATGTGAAAATAAGCACCATTGATACTGGGCAAATGAATGTAAAACAATGTTGGTAGTGTTGCCTTAAGATAGTAGCATTCATTTGTGCTAACAGATAGAAGAATTTTTTCCCAGAAAAAATATTGAAAGAAATTAGGGTTTTTTTCTGCAATAACATCATGAAAAAATTTCAACTTGCTAGTTCAGGGACACTCTCCCCTTAAGTAACAGTAACCATTTTTTCAGTCTTCATTTTAACAAGCATGAGAGCAGTCTACTTAGCTACAGCAAGCTTATTTTTAGACTCTTCTGATGGCTTCTGGAAAAAGAAGACCTCCACTCATTTGGCTGATGTGGTGAACATCAGCCTACAAGAGACACATCTGTTTTTAGGATATTTCCAGGAATTTAGGATATTTGCATGAATATTTAGGATATTTCTAGGAATTCCACTTAGTTGGTAATGCTTATAAAAAATGTGCCCAGGGCATCCTTGGTAAACCAGCCCCACAGATATCAACAGTTAAAGCAACCTTACCTTACCACACAACAAATTTATTCTGTTCTTATCTTTCTCCTCACTTCTTACTCTATTCATATCTGGAATATTCCACCTATTTTTGATTCCCATGTCAGCTTTACAACCTTGTACACTACAAGTGGCCTCTACCCTTGAATAACTTTAGGGTACAAGAAATGAAAGGCAACACAAAGGTTACAAGGATTACTGTAATTATGTGGAGCTATTGCTGGACCTCCTTTTCATGGGTTTAAAGACAGCCAATGTTGTAACCAGTGTAAAACGACAGGCTTAATGACAGTCAGTCATCTTCCAGTCTGAAACAGAGACTATAATATCACTTTATCACCTGCCTGTGGAGAGGAGCCCCAGAAGATTTTGTCACCTGAATGGCTGCTCTGCAAACACTCTTGGCCATCTGTTATTTACAGCTTGCCTTTGCAGGTACCTCATTCTATCAATTGTGCAGAATGGGCTGCATTAAAACCCTATGACTAAATGCTCCAGTGAAGAATGCAGTCTTCCCCTCCCATACACGCATACTTTATGAATTTCTTTTTAATTTAGTGTAGTGCCTTTTCAAAAACATCAGAACAAACATTATTTTAAATGAATACCATGTTCTTTAAAAGAAGAGGGTACAACAAAAGAAAATATTCAACTTTTGATATAAAACTTTAAACCTTTCCTTAGACTTTCCTGAAATGTAATCATTTTATTTCAAATTGAGAGGAAAATTTGAAGTCTAAATTATATCCTGTCTAACTATTGACTTTACTATGTGGGCCCCATGTTTCATCTAAAGAGGGCTTTAAAAACCACCTGCTGAAAACAATGCTACATTGTGGCTGGGATAACTTTGGGGATTAGGTCGAAGTACCTTAAATTAAAAGGAAAACTATTAAAATATAATCATAAGACTACAGCTTTATTTCTATTGCTCTCTGAGCAGTCCTTTGCCATGAGGCTCTTACATACAGATTCCCTTGTCTCTCTCAGAAAGCATTTGAACCAAAAGAATGCAAACCTGGAAAGAAGGGCTTTCAGAGGCAAAGAAATTCACTAGTTTGATAGGAATAGGCAGATCCATCAGGTCAATGCATGGCTCCAAGGTTGCTGTCAGTGGAAAAATTTTGCATTTGTTGACCATGGGATAACTTACTCAACACGTGGTCCAGTGGCACCTGACAGAATGTACGTGTCTCAGAGGGGAAGAGCTCCAGCCCAGGAGCCACTGGGGCCTGATGACCAAGCTTTAAATGAGCTTGGAAGGAGGAAGGAACAAAACCAGGCTGTCCAGTGAATAGCAATGAGATGGTGTGCCAAAACTTGGGGAAATGAGCATTCATGGGAACCCTCAATCTGCTTCCAACTCAGATATTCTGTGAATTAAGCATGCTTGAAATCAGAGAGAGATATTTAAAAATTTAGTCTTCAGGCTGGAAGGAGGAACTCTGAAACAGCCCAGCCTGGGACCCACTGGAGACCTGGGGACAGCAGCTGCTCCTTCCAGGTAACTGCAGTGGGAAGCTGAGAGCTTCCCCACTATGTCCCTGTTTCTCTGTTTAAGGAACATTTGCTTTTTATTTTTTTGCTGCACAAACATGAGCTTACCAAATCAAAATCATTCTCCGATGCCATATATTTCATGCTAAACTATAAATTACAAGGCACTTCCTTGACAAATGGATTATATTTACACTGAGTTACTGTAAATCAAATTAGATTATTTAGGAACAATACATTGTGGAAGTGTTGCCAGTCATTACACCATATTTAA